TTTTGACGGGCCGCAGCTCTTTCGCAGGAAATGAGGGCCCATGGTCAAAAACTGAAGTAAATTGCAATTTTGACGGGCGTATCGCAGCTCTTTTGCACGAAATGAGGGTCCATCCTCAAAAATTGAGGTAAAACTGCGATTTTGACGGGCGTATCGCAACTCTTTCGTGCGAAATGAGGGTTGATGGTCCAAAACTGAAGAAAAATAAGTAAAATTGCGAATGTCTGTGTGTAAAAGCGTCCGTGTGTAAACAAGTCTGTGTGTCAAAGCGTCTGTGTGTAAAAGCGTCTGTGTGTAAAAGCGTCTGTGTGTGTGTGTAAAAGTGTCTGTGTGTGTAAAAGTGTCTCTGTGTGTAAAAGCGTCTCTGTGTTTAAAAGCGTCTGTGTGTAAAAGCGTCTGTGTGTGTAAAAGCGTCTGTGTGTGTAAAAGCGTCCGTGCGTAAAAGCGTCTGTGTGTGTGTAAAAGTGTCTGTATGTGTAAAAGCGTCTGTGTCTAAAAGCGTCTGTGTGTAAAAGCGTCTGTGTGTTTGTGTAAAAGCGTCTGTGTAAAAGGGTCTCTGTGTGTAAAAGCGTCTGTGTGTGTGTAAAAGTGTCTGTGTGTGTGTAAAAGCGTCTGTGTGTAAAAGCGTCTGTGTGTAAAAGCGTCCGTGCGTAAAAGCGTCTGTGTGTGTAAAAGTGTCTGTATGTGTAAAAGCGTCTGTGTCTAAAAGCGTCTCTGTGTGTAAAAGCGTCTGTGTCTGTGTGTAAAAGCGTCTCTGTGCGTAAAAGCGTCTGTGTGTAAAAGCGTCTGTGTGTGTAAAAGCGTCTGTGTGTGTAAAAATGTCTGTATGTGTAAAAGCGTCTGTGTCTAAAAGCGACTGTGTCTAAAAGCGTCTGTGTGTAAAAGCGTCTGTGTAAAAGCGTCTGTGTGAAAGCGGCTTTGTTCTTGGTCAGAGTTGGTGCTTGCACGTGGAAGTAGGTGATATCGAGTTGGAAATGCGGTTTTTTGTGGGATACTTGGAGCTTTGATTGACGTCTTCAGTGCATATTCGTGTAAAATTCTACCTTTTTCCCGAGAGCGCCTGAGCGTAGGGTTCTGCTGTTTTCAATGCATCTTCACATCTTCACATCTTCACATCTTCACATCTTACATCTTCACATCTTCTCTCTATCTCTCTATCTCTCTATCTCTCTATCTCTCTATCTCTCTATCTCTCTCTTCTCGTCTCCTCTCGTCTCCTCTCGTCTCCTCTCG